TCGGAATGATTGTGTTAAGCTAGCACTAAGTCCCTTCCCCGTCCACCTTTATTCTTTTCTTCACAATAAGGCTTTCAAATAAGTCATGGTTGTACGGCAGTGAAGCATCGGTGTTGAACACTGATGTCATGCTGTCGATGATGATGATGATGCCGGAGAGGTTCCTCAAGGAACCTCTGTCTTACTGATTTCCCGAAAATACGTGTCTTACTTGACCAACTTAAACCGGGACTAGCTTCAGTAGAAGAGAAATGCAGGACCACAATGCGGAAGATTAACGAGGCTGAGGTGTTTGTACTGAAGAAAACAGCATGCGGTTGAATGGACCAAAAGCTTCCCAGTCGGATTCGGCTTTTTCTGGAAGTGAGATCCAAACTATTCTTTAAATTGATAACTACAATGGCGCAGAAGATGAGCTGGCATACAGAAATGCTTTAACCAAGTAATCCCAATGCAACATACGAAAATAGGCCACGATACTAGACATCGTCCGAAAAACAAAAATGTACTATTTATGTACGGGAGACCGCTGAATAAATAGGCCTTCTTGTTGAGAGACAGAAACGAAGAACCCACGAATAACCCAACACTAGTGTTATCTGAAGCCTAAAGCGGACTTTAAACTGGTCTATATGCTGCCCCAGCGAACTCAGCGATTCCAAATACTGGCAAGGCGTAACTACGAACGGTTGCTAACCGACTTGAACTCAGCGGGATGGGATTTTCAACAACTCTTGCGCAAGACGAACTCCTCCAGCGCGCTGGGTCAGACGAGGTTCATCCAAGGGTCTTGAAGATAACCTCGCTTACAATGGCAATATTTTTCTACCTGGTGTTTTGTCAGTCGCTCGGCGAAGGCAACCTTCCCTCCGCTTGGGAGATAGCGGTTGTCACGCCAATGTGCAAAATTGGTGACCGCCTAGCGCACGACAGCTACAGACCTGACTAGCATACCGTGCTAGGTGATGGAGCGCATTCTGAAGTGGTCCGTCTTAAATCACCTCAGCGCCAAAAACGTGACATTCTTAGTGAAACTTGGATTCCTCTCAAGCCGTTCATCCGTAATGTACAGCTTAAAGCAAGCTAAGACCGAATTTTAATGAACCTTCTTGTATTTATGTACAGCTTAAAGCAAGCTAAGACCGAAGGACTCATATCGGATGTCATATTTTTGGCTTCTCAAAAGCATTCGATCGAGTCAACCGAGTTATCCACTCAGGACGCTGGAAAGAAGTAACCCTCATTGAGGGCGTGCAACTAGCTGCGACGAAAATGGTTGTTGGTTTTGGACCTTTTGCTTACAGAACGCGTCTCGCATTGCCTGTCCTCTTTCTCATAAAGTAAGGTCACCCCTGAGGAGAATTAACGCATACTTATGACTAGTTCGAACAAGGCTTTGCCCACAGGCTTTCCACCGTTGACCAAAATGATCACATTTTAGAAGCTTTTCAATATCAGGGCGCACACCTCCATAAGGTGATAATATTTCTCGTTTCTCATTATATCGGCTTGCGGACGGCAAAGGACGTGTCCAAACAGTCAAATCAGGCTTTGCAAGGGCAACTTAACACAGCATAGCACTACTTGCAGATTACTGGCGAATTTGTAAAAATCGCTTTCAAATCAGTCGTTCAAACAGCATATTTCCTGCCTCAGAGGAATTTTTCCACATCCTTGTATTAATCCGAAACGTAACCTCACTGAGTTGGGGGCGCTAATCATCTTAGTTTAGGCCCATCGGCGTCTTCGGAATTTTATCGAAACCAGATGAGAACATTAGAGTAGTTCTACTTAACTGCACCGAAGTTTTTGGGAGGTAATATATGGTAGATAGATGAGCTGATGACGCTCCATAATTTGGGCTCGTTTGGTCACGTGCTTTACATACCATTGGGTTAACATCCTGTAAAAGCCCTGACCGCCCAACCTTTTGAGGGACAGACAAAGCCAACGACCTGGCAGTGACGCAAACTAAGCGCTAGTAGGTCAAGCGACAAACGGAAGGACGGAACTCTGCCCCCCTGGTATGAGACCCTGAGACAGGAAACATTGGTGTTTAGAGAAACCGTCAGACAACTTAATCACGCGTCCATTTGCTCACAAGTCTTTGCGATGACAACACAAAATCCCATCTGCATCTCTGTTCAGTGAAAAAGCCACCTCCGGTCATGGATTCTTCCGTTGATGATACCGTTTTGTGTCCTTGATGCGTATTTATTTATTCGTGAATCGGCTGAAGAAACTGTGGTAGTTAGACCCAGCTTGCAACATGCGTCATGTTCGTGGCCGATCTGAAGTGATCTCCCATAAGAGAGATCGCTACCTCTTGTGTGAGTGTCTTAATCGTCAACCCAAGCTTCAAGCGTCGACGGGATGTAACCTTTTCTTCCTAAGGAGAAAAACTTGATTCGTTTTATTGTCCAATACAGTAATTTCGCCGTTGTGCTCTGTTTTGTGCCAGTGTAATAACGGTATTTTCCTCAGCTTGGTTCTCGGTCTGAGCCTTCAAAGCTTGCGTTCCTGTCAAAACAACCAACATAAGTGCATAAGGTGTATTACGCCCAAAACCAAGGTAAAAGCACATGTGCAGTGCGTCGTTTATAAAGAGTGTGCAGCAGTAACAGTGAAAATTCTGACACCTGGACGCGCCACTGGCAAACGACAACCGGCAGACGCTGGGTCAGGATTGACTATTAGGTTCATACTTTTAGCCTGTCATAGTACGCCTTGACGCTAGATTGTCAAACGGCCCGGTTTTCGGCAAATCGCGTGCGCGATAGGCTTCTTGGAAGTGTAGCATGCACGCTATAGAAGTACCAGGGAACAGGGGTTTCCAAAATTGGGGGTTTCGACAATTTCTGCGGGTGGAAATCAGAAGTAAAGATTGTGAGACGAAGCCCAGTAAGAAGGAATGTACATAACCCATACCTACATGTAAATCAATCAAACAGACAGACCCTATACTACAGCTGTAGTAGGGCCAAACTGCGAGCGGCAAATCGATCTACCGACTAGTAGTCAACACACTGAGTCGCGCTTTTACTGATGGAAATTCTCCTTTTTCTTCAGCGGACATCACATTTATTGCCTTTATATTAGAAATGTGGATGAGGAGTGTCTTCGCTGGTTTCACTGGTTTTTTATGCTACCTTTTCAGCTCAATATTCATTGAATTAAATGGGTAATTGCGTTGGGTCTCCTGGACCTTTTCAGCCAATATTCATTGAATTAAATGGGTAATTGCGTTGGGTCTCCTGGATCATCATCCGTTGAAGTGTTTGTACCAACAACAACCACCGAACGGGCCTCCCTTATCTCCCATCTAAAGGATTTCTACGGCGTTTCTGTAAAATCGTTAACAGATGGATTAAGAATTTCAGGATCTGATGATTTGATTTCGGAAGCAGAGGTAAAGATACGCTTAGCTGTTAATTAACCTCTCACAGAACTACATCAAACGGTTTCTTGAATACGACCACAAAATTCTGGTCTCCGTATCAGCGAGGTGCATCAGTATCTTTACCTTTTCTGACCTTGTCCGTCACTTTGAACAACGATTTGGGGTCTTCATCTCACCAAATCCGCCATCAAAATTATCTGTTAAAGGCGAGCCTTCCAGAGTGGATCAGTTTTGCACGGCTCTTAATACTTTGGATTCTGACTGTCAACAATCTTCGGTGACCATGACCTCTATGAACTACGACTGCCTCCGTCAGTTTTGTCGAAAGTTTTCTATCAACTTCTATAGGCTGCCGTCCTCGCCGTCAGTTCATATGGCACTGTTGCGGTACTGCTCCAAACTACCTTCTTCGGTACCGAAACCATCACGGCCTCTATCCCAACCTTTGCTACCAAATGCAGTGTCCCGCAGAAAACCTCTGACAATGATGGGGTCAACAGCACAGAAAGGTGACCAATAGTCATCTTGTGAATGCACGTCGCTAACCAGTTTCATTGGTGGCCGGTCTGTGCCACAAATTGAGTGAACGTGTCATCGATCTAGCCTTAAAATGTATTGTGTTACGATTGGCCTTTGTAGTGTCCATGAACTTTTTATCCACTCTGCAACTTAGCAATATTTCATACGAACGCATGGGGTTGTTTAGGCGCAGTACACTACCCACAAAGTTGCTAAAAACTCTGACAGCCCACGACCGGTTTCGCTTCTCTTGGGGCTGATCAGGTATGCTGAGTCCCCGAGTTTTCGTCAGCCTTATATTCTGCTTGGACCCAAAATTGCACGAAATTAGTGGACTACACTCATTTGCAATTGCACAAAATTAGTGGACTACACTCATTTGCATACCAATTTGGTTTTGACGGCGACTCAACCGAAACTCAGTTAAATCTCGCCTTAATCAACCGTCAAGAGTGACGGATGTAATAATCCTGGAGGTGGATATGAATGCCCAAGTTGAGTGACAGTCTGAAAGGGGCACAATAAGGTGTTAGATTTGGAGTCGATGCTAAGCGCATGGATACCAAAAGACTGAACCTTACCGTGGTGTGTGGTTTGTGTGCCTCCGTGACTCACTGAGTTATACTGGATGGTATCCGTGCGACACTCACAAGCTCTCATATCAGGTTGGTTAATGGTTACAGGTCTGATCCACACGATCTCCCGGCCCTCCAGGTTCGGGGTTGTAACATGTGTGGCGACTTGTTCCATAAAAGTGATAATGCAATTGTATTTTCTACCAAGCACCACTGCCTTGCGGTCTGGCTTTTGTCAAGGTTTTACTCATTCTCTCATCTAGGTCTGAGCCCTGAAACTTACAACTAACATGCCACAACGGCCGTCGCATGGTGCTACCAGCCTGGTCGCTTTGCTTCATGTAGCAGAATGGATAAGCAAAAACATGCTACTGCTGACGTTATCCTCCTAACATTTTCACTTTTCCCCCTTCTACCCTAATTCACCCGAATTTGAATACTCTCTCCACAGATCTCAGCACTAGGACTGACAGCTTTGCTCGTAATGCGTCACTCAGCTGCAGCTTCTGCACGTCCGACTTTAGTAACAACCCTGAACACTTCGAAGTCTATTTTCAAACACAACAGGCCGGTTTAGTTAGCTGTCTTTATGGTAAGACGCTGAAGCAAGCCCGTACGCTGGATTCCCTCGGCATTGACGTTTGCTCTGTGTCAGATACAATGACACAGAAGGCAAAGCTTGTTTTTGAACGACTGGTCTGTCGTTCACTTCTGGCGATGCAGATGCCGCTGCAGCTGAATATACCGGAGTGGCTATTGTATTGAGCGATCGGGCAGAAGCTTCTATACTTGTTTACACACCTGTTGGCAATAGCCTCTTCGCCGTCTGTTCTGCAACGTCTGTGAGGGAGTCTAGAAGATGGATCGCCTATTGCACCCTGTTTATTCTCTGCCAAGGACAGTTTCTATGATGCCATAGGTTCTCTTGTACAACGGGCCAAAAGCTCAAACATCGTTGCGGTTGGTGGTGCTATGATCGTCCAGGTACGCTAAGTGCTGCTGGAGCCTGATTGGTTGGTCGTATTGGGTTGAATAAGAGACGTGTTAGCATTATACTATCCCTGCTTCAGATGTGTACCAGTTACAGACTGTTCTTTTACAGTGCAAACTTCCGGAACAGCGGGAATCGCTTCACCACATGACGCCCAACAAAGAACCGGTCTCGAATCAATATAGAACACATCACCACCACTTGTCGGTGAAGAGAGTGGTCCACCGTCTGTCGCTCCTTGAATGCCTGAGTGGACTCCCATCGTGCGCTTGTCCGCTTCTGCTTTTTGTTACGCTTTTCAGGTCTACCCGAAATTCGCAAATCTCGCTTTACCATTAAAAAGTTAGTGGAGATGGCGAGGTGGCTGAGAGATTAGAACGCGAAATTACTGACCGGAATGTATGCAGTTCAAACCCGGCCTATGCATCTCGACTTCTGTCTAGGCTTGGGCGACCAGACAGTATCCCAGCCCCCATGCCTCCTTCGGGTAGCGTGGCTGGTACGCACCGAAAGGGTGAACGAGTATTATTTATTATTAGTGGATCCAGATGTCAAATGAAACTTCCAGAACTGGATACTCGAACACTCGGAAGATGGTCCGATTTCCGGTGTCAACGGCCACTGAAAACTAATATATAGTGCAGTAACCAAAGCCGGAATTTCTGCTCGCGGTACAGTCCAGTAAATCCATTCCAAACGTTGGATATCCGATAGAGCCATCGCCCTCCTAGAGACCCGGCGACAGATTCCTGCTACCCGCAAATCACAAACCAGCCCGATGCATTATTTGACACTAAATAAAACTGTCCTCGAAGACCGGATGCTTAGTGGACCAGAACGGCCGATGAAATGGAAAATGCAGAATGTCTGCAGCCGGTTCCACGTGATTCTTTCGGCTGGTCTTCCGTACCATCTTGTCAGCGAAGCTATGAGGGACAAGAATGGCTCTCTGATACTCAGCAATGAAACCATTCTCTAAATGATCACGGCACTTCTCTCACAGTATTCCGACAACCGCGCAGCTAAGAGGATTCAAGGAAAATTCTTCCTGGTACTCATCACCAGAAATGACACTTGCAAATGTTGTCATTTCTCGCCTTTTCAGATTCCGAACTGAAGTTATGGTGAGGGAGCATACAATCCAAACCTTAAACTGTGTGCTGCTGACAGTGCCTAGAGTGATCGCGTCAAACGCCTGTAACGTCGAGCACGGAGAAGGTACCTGAGCACGGAGAAGATACCGTAGGCGTAAACCAGGAACCTATATATCGCACCTTTTATGCTTTGTTTCGATACTGAACAATCACAGTCATAGTGCCCAATCTAATGGTTGTTGAAATTTGATGTAAAGTTTCATAATAAACGACCGATTAGCGTCAATGGTTGTGTCTTCGAGGGCAAGTGATTATATCCTATGTGCGGAAAGTGACCAAATTCCGCATTCGTACAACACGGTCGCACAAGACGTTGTGTGTTCCTTTATTCCCTGATAAGCTAGTAAAACATCGCCCCGATAAGGTTAGTGAAGACGACACGGGCTTCCAGAAGCGAAACTTTTACCTGCTATTGCACCAACCTGCAACAGTTATTTTTAAACCACTATTTTCGGCCCTTTATTGCTGGAAGTTGGAAATTCAGAAATCCGTCAATCTTAAAAAATCTGGATATAAAAGGTGGATTTGATTGAACTTAGGTAATACTTTACAAACCCCATCAACAACCGGTTACTTCTGCTCATTCAACTGAACTACAACAACTTGGCTGGGCTGTTGCATCATGAAGGGTGACTAATCCGTGAAAACACAGAGAAGCTGACAGCATTATGCTCCGGAAAAGATGGAATTAGTCAGATGGTTGCAATCTACCTAAAAGGGGTCTTGAGAAAAGTGGAGCCTACCTAGCGCTTCCTGTAAGATGTTCTCTCAAGAACCAATGAATGTTTTGTGCCAGAATGTAAACATCAGTTCCCGGGTGGTTATTGTACACTCTGATACCCGGTTCACAGCTACGGCATCTTCGTGCTCGACGTTACAGGCGTTTGATGCGATCACTCTAGGCACTGTCAGCAGCACACAGTTTAAGGTTTGGATTGTATGCTCCCTCACCATAACTTCAGTTCGGAATCTGACCTTTGCAAGTGTCATTTCTGGCGATGAGCATCAGGAAAATTTTTCCTTAAATCCTTTTAGCTGCACGGTTGTCGAGGTACTGTGAGAGAAGTGCTGTGATTATATAGAGAATATGTTTGTTGCCGAGCGGCGCCACAAGTCAGCGGTCAATTAGGCCAATGTTATCAGGTCAAAGAAAACGGCACTCGTTTCTCACATGTACGTACTGTGGTGTTGAGCAAACGCGTACTTGGTTCTTGCTCGTTTCAAAAGGCTTTTTTGTTATGGGTTTCGCTAATCTTTGGACCTTGTAAGTTCTGAAAGAATGGATTCCCTGGTGAGGTGTTTCCCTTTGTCGTCGCACCTCTTTAAGGCTACTTCGTTTAGCTTTACCCGAAAGTAGCTGTAGACATCCCAATATTCCCAACTGCATCTTAACAGGAGCAGCGTTTAAGTAACTGAATGTATCCCTGCGAGAAGATTAGATCCCGGTCAATCTCCTAGTATGCTTTCTTCTCTTGAAGGGTAGTGTGTTTATTCGTGATTTTTTCAACCTCTGGATGTATTAGAACAATGGTGTCTTATGTTTATTATCCTATCGTTTCAGAAAAATCACTTGTATCTGAGACAGACGAGTTAGCCAAAACAGATCCCAAGAAATTGCGTCTCGTTGTGATTGATGGAAGTAACGTTGCTTACGAGTAAGTCATATTTATAAGGTGAGACATTTTTTCTTCACTCCCAAAACCTTTTGGAAACAACAGTAATGAACCCGTCGAAAATTCTTTTTTTTTAATCGTTCAAACCAGCAATCAGAGTGAAACAATATTTTCGCCACCAAAGTTTGCATAAGAAAAGTTTACAGATTGTTCCTTGGGGGCGCGATAGCCCTGTGTTTAGAGTGCGAATGTACTAACCATGGTTCGAATTCGACCTATGCATCTCGGTTTCTCATGTCTAGACATGGGTAACCTGGCAGCATCCAAGCCCTCATGCTTCCTTCGGTTGGTATGGCAGCTAGGCACTGAAAGAGCGCTACAGCTGAACATTGATTATTTTTGTTATCAGGAAGATCAAATTCTTGAAAGTATCCTTTGAATGCCCGAAATCCACTGAGATCCTCAACTCAACTAGATGCCGACTAGACAGATAACACCCCTTCAATATGCAGCACGTGACAGCTATTCATCAAACCGCGACAGCGCGAGTCAGCGTTGGACCAAGGTTAGACAGTACCCCTCCAGTAAAATAGCTTGATGCCGTTGTATTTTCGCACTCACACCCTCGCACTCGCTTTTCGTAATAAAGCTGTTGTGTTCCTTATCGGCGAAACTTTTTCCGGCACTGGGCACTGGAGCGGGAACAGTAATCAGGTATAATAATGAGCTCAGTTCTTCCACATTCCTCTCCGTGTTCCCGGTGATTCAGAAACAGTGACTCGTGAAATATATGATGTGGGAGTTGCACACCACACCAGAGCTGAATGTGCCTTGCTGAATTGAATACCGGTGAACAGTCGTCTGCGCCCTCCGATTATCCAGCTCAGTCAAGCTCAACAACTCTCGGCATTAAAAGCGGTGCCTGTTTTTAGTTTCGGCTCATTCCCCAACGGACCGCAGTTCTGACGCTGAGAAGGGTACTTTCTATCAAGATTTATCCAGGCTCATTCTAGAACAAAACGCACGAGCATTGTGATCTTTGCAGGTATTAGGAGAACCAGTTCCGGACGTAACGAGACTACATAACTGCCAATATAATGAACGTTTTTCGAGACAGATTTCGTTGGTTGTTCTTCACTCACCCTCGACAGATGAGTTGTATTGTTAGTATCACTTCTGACCGCTTGTGCGCGACAGTGATCAATAGAGCACCTGGCTCGCCCGTTCGTTGACTTTTTCTGGTTTGGTCAAGCTCACCAGGCGATCAGGCGGCTATCCAGACCGGAGTTCACGGTAATAAGAAGGCATTAAGAGACTGTGGTCCACAACAGCGAGCAACATGAATACTTAATTCGGTCGTCTAAGCCGTTTGGAATTATATCCGAGCGATCGATTCGGCCGATGCTCGTCGCGCAGATAACAGACAACGGCCCTTTTGTGTGCTGATCACGAACAGTTTGTGGCCGGTATTAACTATCGGGCGCAACCTGGCGGCCAGCAACTGCAAATCAACTGTGGACCCAGCTCACGTGGCCATCAGCCATTGGTGGAGAGGCGCACTTCAAGCCTACCGTTCCTTCTGGGGCACGCAATTCGATTACGATCAGACGATTATGCGTGCACACCTGACATTTTGTTTCATTTCCAGCCCTCGCAACTCAGCAAGAAGCATGCGTCGTTTTCAAAAAATCTACTATAGCTCAACAGTATCGATCTGAGCTATCCCAACAACTCTCCGCAGTGAAACAATACTTCATTGGCAGTGAGCATTTGATGACGCTTGACAGAATGTAAAAGTCGTTATGCATGCGGCGTTCATTGTTGTCTGTCCGACTTCTCCGATTCGACTATAAGACAACCAGATGTCGTCGAGAGCGCTATCCACGATTGTTGCCAGAAAATCCATACCAGCAGGCAACAATTACAACGGCGCACGCAAATCCCTCAAACGCCGAATAGTGAAGAGTCTAAGGAAAGAGCGGTAGCTCTGGTGGACCTCGGAAGTTCGGAAATGGAGAATACTTTTGCCGCTGGAAACAGCTGTGTCTCAAATCAATTGATACGATCGACTGGCCCTGGGAGAGCAGTGATCAATGAATTGATAAGTGAAAAAGGCGGCTCATTAATTAACTAGCAAAAATGTTGAATGGAAGGATGGGCCGAACACTCCGAAAGACAGCTTAGCTGGCCTGCAACACATCTGGAGATATTGCGTTCAAGTGAATTGAATGTAAACCCTTATTGCCCGTCGGAAGAGGAAATAAAACACGAACTATCCGTACCGAAACGTGAGAAGGCACCAGAATTTGATGGTCTGTATCCAGTCCTCTTCAAAAAAGACGAAGAATCCCCGGTGACCCACCTGACGAAGCCTATTGGTGCGGCATTGAACGAATGGGAAGTGCCTGCAGAATGGGACACGTCGACAGTTTTTCTATTTTCAGGAGGGGTACGCGGACGCTGTTTGGAAAAACCCCGTGGCATTTGCCTGGTAGCTGCGGAACGGAACGTGCTCTCTTACGTTGTCCTTCGAAGGTTGACTGGAAACAAATCGGTGAAAACTACGCCGGGTTCCTAACGGAAACTACTCACAAGGTTGCTGAAAACTCTTCGACAGCCCACGACCGGTTTCGCCCTTCTTGGAGCTCATCAGGTAGGCGCAATCCCCGAGTTTCCGTCAGCCTTATGATCTTGAACCCAAATTGGACTGTTTTCGAGAAATACACTCATTTGCAAATCAATTTGGTTTTCATGGGAGGCTCGATTGAATCTCTCGTTTATGATGTCCTCCAGCTGAATGTG